CTGGGATTCCTGGAGGCCCTGTAGATGCAAACATTAACGATGAAGGTGTTCAGAAGGCGTTACGGTTCGCAGTAGCCAAGTACAACAGACAAAGCAACGATGCGTTTGTGCGTAAGGTTTCCAAAGTCATCAAGGTCCAACAACAAGTAAGTACTTTAAACGTTTATTCGGTTTGTAATCGTTTAAACTGGGAACGTCGCTGAATCAAACCCAGTGATAAAGTTCCTCCTAGAACGCTGTCATGATGACATGTAAAGATTTGTTCAGAATTGTGTGAAATCTCAGAACCATAAAATTGTTCCCAGTTGTACAAAGAGAACAACAGAACCGTTTGCCTCAATTTGAAAGCTATTTATATTATATGCTACATAAGAATTTTATATAAGGTTGGAGTAAAGGTTTCAGGTTCAGGTCTGATTTGCTAGACATGGTCGATAAATATTGAAACTTGGAAAGAGAGCGAGAGCCAGCTTTCTCCAGCATGACTTCGTAACAGTGGTGGCTGCCCCTAACTTAAATTATTTATTTTAAGAACTTTAGGGCCCCAGACAGGTTTTTTTTTTTTTTTTAACTCTTGGGTTGGCCCAACTATGTCTGAACATGTTTCTGGTTGACACTCCAGGTTGTCGCTGGCATGAACTACATCTTCACTGTGAAGTTGGGCAGAACCAACTGCAAAAAGGGTGGAGTTGAGACCCTGTGTGCCATTCATAAGGATCCCAAAGTTGCACGGGTAAGACAGTCTACTTTACAATATTGTGATTATCTGTTTACGTTTCTCGATTTCCATGTTAAAAATGATTGACCCTTTTGTTTTTTGTTTTTTTCCTTCAAGGTCATTCAGTGCAAAATAACGGTCTGGAGCCAGCCATGGTTAAACTTCCTTAAAGTCACTGAAAAAACCTGCATGTAGAGCTTGTGACGAGTGCAGTTTGGGGCTTTAACATTCAAGCGGCAATAAAATTTACTTGCTGTTGGTAATGGTAAACTTCGTCTTTATTCTTGATAAAATAGTAACTTTATTTGTGGTGAGAACCTGTCAACAAATGATGATAAGAATACTTCATTAACACATAATCACGTAATCTCAATCCGTTGCTCTGGAAAAAAAGCTACAATTTGTAGGCATTTCTAAATGATAAAACGCATGTTTCTAGATTGGTTCATCCTTTACTATTAAAACATGGTTTAACTATGTCTGTGCTCCCAACCGGCACATGACCGACCTTCAACGTTGAAATATGGTTGAAATAATGACCGTTGTTGTTTCAACATTGAATCAATTAATGCTAAATGGTTGAAAGGTTAACAAACACTTGTAAATCAACTTTTTTTTTTATTTTTATTTTTTATTTATTTTTTTTAACAACTGTATGTTGAATCAATTTAATGTCTTCAACAGCATACAAAAGACATTTCTGCCTTTAAAATTAAATTATTTAAGATTATTAGCATTTTACAATATTTTGATCATGAAACCTATTCTAAAATCTTAAGGTATAAGTTAAAATATTATCATTAACAACAATAAAACTAAATACATTTTGCTGCGTTACCACGCTGAAACAGTTCCTATTGGTCATTTTACCTTATTGCTTTGATCATGATTGGTTAATCTGGCTGTCATCCAGGAAACTGGCCAATGAAACTGAGGCGGCTGACTGTGAGCTGCTACGGGACGAACTCCCTTTTGGAGCCAGCCTCTAAGCGGTCAGTTGATGAATTGCAGTTTTAGTCGCTTCCGTGTTGGTGTCACGAGAGGGACCGGAAGGTTGCCGCTTGCAAAAAAACTGATTTGGCTATTTAATGAGTAGATTATGCACACATTTTAATAAAGTCTAAATAAATTGTTCAGATGACCCATGCAGCCGTCACAAAGAAATCAGCAGTGCCTCCACATTATGACAGTTCCAACCCGTGATGACCTGATCCATCATGTGGAAAGACTCTGGCAAGTTGACACCCTCCCATACAATA